GACACTGGAGACAGGAAAATGGGCTGCGCGGCATTATCATGACCAAAAATGTGACGCGAAACGACGGACAGTCGGCCAGCTCGACAGCTCGGCAGCTGGACAGCTGGACAGCTGACACCTACTGCACCTGCCCTTGTCCAGTTGCCCAGTTTGGGAAGCGCACCTTATGAGCTGCTACAGTTTGCCATCGTTTTGTAAGCCAAAAGGCCGCTGGCCGTGCAGTCTGAGCTGTCAATATGCCTAGGCTCTTCCGCCTCATTAGTTGAGAGCAACAAAAAAAAAACCAACTGCTCAAATATATAAATAAATAAATATATAAACAAATGAAAGCAATAATGGATGAGTAGGGGAGCGGGGAAGAAAACAGCAGCGCAGGCAGCGCAAAATTGATTTGTATGCATAATTGATTTTGCGAATTTCGTAGCCTTTAACAGCGTGTATTTGTCTCGAATGGTTGCTTTTCTAAAACAACAATAAAATCGCTGCGTTGTCAGAATCGCTGAGTTCGATTTTTATTTTATGTTTTTTCTTTCGTTTTTTCATTACAGCAGCATCGACAACTCGTGTCAAAAATAGTGTCCAGACTGAAGCTACTCCAAATGCTTGACATCTAATTATTGTGGGGAAATCAGAAGCAGCAAAAACAAAAAAATATGAGCCACAGCTGACAAAAACAAACCGAGCCAAGTGAACTAAGGTCGCACAAGCACAGTTTGGCTGGCACTGATTCGTATATATACAAATACATCTGGGTAAAGCTATTCTTTCGTTTTTTTTTTTTTCACACGCCGCAATAAATGATCTTTAGTGCAGCTGCATCTGCAGCTCGCTAGTTGCACTTAGATAATTGCACTGGGCAAATAATTACAGGGCAATGGGCGACAAATGTGTTGATTTTTTTTGTCTGTATAATTTTCCCTCTGTCGTTTTTCACACAAATGCCGTGTGACCCCCAAGCTCAGACTCAAAGTACCACCAAAAAGCACCAGATCTAAGCCCCGGCACGGATGTTTGGTGTGCGCATACATTGTAACGAGATTTTCACACGCATATATGCTAAGTCAAATCAAACAATCGCTCGTAGACACAGACTTTTCTATATAGCACTATATATACACAGAGAGAACAACAAGATGCAAGTGCGCAAATGCCAGTTGGATAGTATATACTGAGACGTCCTCTGCTGTTCTATGACTCATCCAAAGCTGTAGATAAAGTTCTGCAGTATCTCATTTTGAATATATATTATTTTTTTTTTTAAGTACCTTTGGAAACTTTAATTAAAAAATTGAAACTGAAATTCTTAAAGTAAAACGAAACGAAGTCTTTCAAAAAATAAAACTATTTGGACATATATTTCACTTTTCTTCTGTAGTATTTCTGCACATATGCACAAATATATACAAACATATATGCACACATGAAAAAAATTATATATATATATATATATATATATATATATATATATATATATATATATATATATATATATATATATATATATATATATATATATACATTAATACATTGCACATTAATTTTCAAGTTTGGCTAAACCTATTATGAGCTATATTAATGTGTTTTGTTGCCGTTTTTTTTTTGGCTCAACTTGGACTTAATAGATTTCCTTATTGTAGTAGTAGCCAACGGTCTACGGTTCTACGAGGCACGGTACGGTGAGTACACCGTATGGAAATGAGGCTCGTAGAGCACATGCTCCATTGTACAACAATAAAACCAAATACATAAATTGCTTTGCAAAAAGCGTTTTGTGTATTTGTGCGTTAGTTGGGGATAGTGCAGAGGTTAATTATTTAGTTTTGCAGACACGCGGTCATATATTATATAGCCAAATTTATGTATTTACTGACTACGAATTAATTTGACTGTCGGGCCAAAGTTTAGTCGACACGCTGCGTTTTCAACAGGTTCGTCTTCGGCAAAGAGGCACTGTTTAATTAGTTAGTAAATATTTGCAGCGTTAATTGGATTTTGACTATTCGGGCCTTTTCATGTTGTCAATAGCTTTTGTGACTATTGCACGTGATTTGGCTCGAAAGCGAATGCTCCATATTTGGGCCTAGCCATGAAGTTGGGTGTGTGCGGGGCAGTGAGCGAAGGCAGCGGAGTAGCTGGTTAGATTTGATCTTGGTGCAGCTGCAATGCAATCGCCATTTATTGATTACAAGTTCAAAGCGTTTAGTTTTGGCCGCCTCAAAGTTGTCAGTCTTGGCCTTGGCTGACTGGCAAAATTGCAGCAACAGCAGCACAAGTAGCTGCAACTGCAGCCAAGCAGCAGCACAGCAGCTCCTCAGACAAGTTTTCAGCACTTAATCTATGTGCATTGCATTGGGTTAAGGTCAACTAGAAAAAAATCAGACAGCCAGAGCCAAGCACCAATAAAGAAGCATTAGCAAAGAGCAACAAAATTGCAACTAACGACAAATTAGTCAAGGCAGCCAAGCTGTGCCCCGTCGACCAACTGGAGCCCAGGTCGGTGCAAATATCACCAGCTTTGTGTGCACAGCAATGCAGGTTAGTTTGACAGAATGATTTAGCAGCCAGTTTGGCACTGCCCACACTGTTTGCTTTGGGGACGCTGCCCAGCTGTCAAAAGCTGCACACAATTGGCCAATACTAATTTATGCATGTGTTATCGATAGGTTTCACTTTCACACTGGTCTATTGTCGATAACTCAAGTGAGACACTTCCGTACCTGTTTGTTTGGTCTTTTTGACTGCCTGCGATGATCCCGTTGGACACAAACACACACGCACGCACACACTCACACGCACTGCACCACGAAGCACTGAGCTGCTGTCAGAAACTCACACTGGATATGCTGGGAAAATAGATACGAGAAAACCGTCAACGGCGAACGCCAAGAAGACACTAATACGGAGTTCTACACGCTCGGCTGTATAAATAAACAAAATATGCGCGCTCAACCGCCGGCCGAAGCGTTGACGTCGCTGACGACGCTGCGCGGCCAGCGCTGGCAGCGGCCAGAACGTGGAGCCAGGCCCAGCGACAGAGACACAGGCACAGACACAGACACAGGCACACACGCACACAGTCAAAGCAAAAGCCCAGGCCCAGGCCTGTCGCTTTGGTTTCGGCTTGGTCTTGGTCAATCCATTTGCCGTTTCTTTGTTGTTCGGCTTGATGCAAGTCGAAGTCGCGTTAATTGCCGATTTGAGTTGCGGAGGGTTATTTTATTTTTTTTATATTTGCGTTTTTCATTTTTATTATTTTTGGTGGTAAGGTCAAGTTTGAAGCAATTAATGCGAATGCTAAGCGGGCCAAAAGAAAGCAAAACTGTTTTTTTTTCTTCTGAATTGCCATTTTGTGCAAAATGTTTGTTGTTTATTTTTAAAAAGTTTATTAACCTCTTTTAAAGAGTCACGCGCTGTACATCGAGATGATATCGCCCGGTAAATCCAAAATCCAAAATAAAAGCCCGTCGAAATATACAAAAACAATATCTACACAAACGCTAAGAAGCGTAAAAATAGCTTCCACTTAATTGATTTATTATCATTGTCACGGCAACAAATTGTAATGTCAGTGCACGAACTAAAAAGGCAGCTCTTATGACATGTTGCTGCTCCATTACGGTATTTTATGTGAAATTACGCAAATGCGAAACCAGTTAACACATTTCATTTATGGGAAAAATGGCCCATCGAACAGTCAGAGCTTTCCCAAAACCCAACTGCTAACTACATGGACCAATATTTGCTCCAGTCCAAATAGGCAATTCAATTGTCCCAATACCGGCTCACCAGTCTTCCGGGTCTTTAGTCTTAAAATACATATTTCACAACCGAATTGCATTTACATATTTAGTATGTTTATCATTGGTATGCGCTTCGTGTGGTTTTTAATTAGTGATTCTCTCGATTCTCTTTTGTCTAGCAGCGATTGAGACCTTGAACTTCAATATAAATACTACAATCGTTTAATATGATAGAGTTTACCGCTACGAGCAACTAATACTGATACGAATACATAGTTCAGCGGCAGGTTTAGCAGCTCCTTGGCCGAGATTTTGCTAGCTCCGGCTAATGTGAGCTTATCAGAACGATGCCTTGACTTTGTTAAAACGTTGACCTGGTTTAGTTTTCTACCTGCAAGTAACAAGCTAACAATTGTAATCATATATGTGCTGAGTGAAAGCCGACGTGGAGTGCAGCTATTATGTAATTTTTACAGCTTGTCAATAAGGTTTCTCATTATATTGAACGTTTTGTGTCCCATAATAGTCCATAATTGTTAAATATATTTAAACTGACATGCGACAAAGCTCACTTGTGTTTTAAGACATTTGAATACTAGCCCTTGTTATCAGTGCTGTGAAATATATCAAAATAGTGGGCTTTATAACTGTTGCCGCTAATACCTATCGGCCCAAATTGGAAATGATTGGAAAACATATCGATATTTGCCAAATTGAATTTAGTTAGCCGTCGTAGACCAGTTGCGGAAACTTTTCATTATCTGAAACGTTTTCTCCTAAATGAAATAAATCCGCATGGGTAGCATGTGATTTACTTTTTTTCTTAAATGATTATCAATTACGAACTTGATATCGTTGTAATATACAAAATACAATACGGTCTATTCTTAACGAGCTTATATATTTAATATAATATTCTGTACATTTCTCTACACAACTTACTGCATTGCAGTGCAACGTATAGATCATATATATAAATATATAATATGTTCTGTTCAATATCTCTAATGGCTACGTTTTATATTTTTATCAGCTTTCATGACGAAAGCGGCAAGGAGTATAGCCATGAATATGAGACTTTTTATTTATCAAAAGCGTATCAACAAGCGCAAAAAGTTCCTTGGTATTTGCAATAGCTGTTGTATTTTAATTCAAATTTTGCACGCATATACGGTATTATACTGATACTTTTTATGTATGGTATTTTTCTATCGATAACGATAATATTCATCACAATTGCGCTGCAAAAGTATTATTGATTGAAAATAAGAAGAAGAAGAAGCAGCAAAAGAAAGGCGCAGCAAGCAAAAAATACGCTATTTAAACCGTATTCGGTTTTCAAGTTTGTCTTAAAGTCCAGGTGATATTAATGTTTTACACCAAATTTACTAAGCGACACATTTTGCATTAAATACCACTAGGCTCGGCTGACCAATAGCACACACACACTCACACATATATACTTCACAGAAATTTGCCGAACAGCAAAGAAAAAAAATTAAATCAACAAAACAAACAGCTAAACAATAGTGCAACCATGACAAATTTGGAAAAGCAACACGAGATGGTGAAGCGGAGTCTTGTCCAGTTCGTCAGTGCGCACATACCAGGTGCCGACTTTAGCGTTGTGGATGAGATTGTACTCTCCTATATCATATCTATACTGGAGGAAGCTTCGCAGGATCCTTGCTTTGATGTGGAGGGCTTTGTCGAGATGATGGGCGCATACTTTGAAGAGTTCCCCACCATTGATCAGGGCGTCATTTGCGAATGGATATACAAGCTGGCCAACGAGCTAACCGATATGGAAAAGAATCAAGGCAACCACAACACGGTCAATTTATCGCTCCAGTAAGTCATAACATTTTATTCAATCATTTTCATTTGCCTTATTCTCTATATATGGTGTGTCGCCTTGCAGCGCCCTAAGCTTGTCCAGCATTATACCAGAGTCCAAACTGCGTGCACGCAACTCTTCCATCTCCGAAAAGGACGAACTATCTTCGAATAACAGCAGCAGCAGCGGAGTCAATGGTGGCGGCAGCAGCAAGCGTTCTCAGCACTTGTCTGAGACTAGTGATGGAGGCTCCACTGACAGCTCTAGCTCCAATTGCGATTACTTTTTGGATGAGGCTGAGGTGCTGCAGGAGATGTTTCCCGACACCGCCTACGTGGAGGTGAGCTCGAATTGTATTTAAATGGGAGAGTAATTCCCAATGCCCCGTGTTCTATTGTATGTCGGACATATGATTCATGTAGCTCCTTTTGGGGCTATGTGAAACGAATTTACACAATATAAATTGTGTAGGTGAATAACGCCTTTATCGGATCAAGCGTCGCTTAGTAGTATTGTATAATGGGTACAATTATATAATATGTTTGCAGATAAAGCATTGCATTGCAATATCCAAGGGCGACATTGACAGCGCTACTCAAATTCTATTGCATCGCCAGGAGACCAATCAGAGCCTGACCGACAAAAGTTATACTGTGGGCATGAAGAAGAATATCGTGGTTGATGACAATGAGCTGAAGAATCGCATAATAGCAAGGTAAATATTGTAACAAAATTAAATGTGATGTTGCACTTACGTAACTGTTGATCCTTAGGTACTCCTATGTGGACAAGAATGCCACTCAGCGCGAGTATAAGCCGGTGGTTCCCAAAATGGAGCCGCGCAAGCTTGTGCGCTATCGTGATAATAAGATTGTATCTCTTAAGGGCGAGCGTTACACTGAAGTTAAGCGTGACGAAGATGCTGAGTTAAAAAAACCCAAGAAGCAGATTCAACCGTAACTAAAGATGAACAAAACCCACAAGTATTTTATCAAGAAGCAACTTAGCCCACAACCACCTAATAATACCGCACCAACGACATATAGAATTGAACGATGCAGCCGCAGCCAATGCGATCAGAATGTTTCCGAGCACAACTTATGCACAGAGCTGCATATTCGTGTGACTCAAAACCAAGCCAACATCGCTCCCAGCCCCAATCACAATCCCCGTCTGGCCTTAGCGCCAGTTGTAGCCATGCTTAGCCAACGTTTAGATGCTTCCTTGCCAATACCCACACAACAGAACGTAACAGACGATACAACAGGACAACAACAAGAGCCGAGCAATATAGCAGCCGCAAAGTGTGATCCGTTGATAATAATCAAGGAATCCCCATGTGAGTTAACTGGTAGTTATTTGTTGTTGCTGTTGTTAGTTTGCTTAGCCGGTTACTGTACGCCATGGAATTTTTATCATAATCAAATTGTGGCTAAAGACACAAAGACTTTACATACCAAATTAGTTAATAGTTATGTTTTAGGTAAAGCTCTTGCATTTCTTTATGTTCGCCCCGACCAGGGCATTATAATCAACAACTACTTATGAGTTTCGTTGCGGTGACAAGGAGGCGGCTCTATTTTATTTGGGGCTGTTGCCTGTCGCACATGACAATGCTTGCCGTCGCGCCTGTAAGTGAGTGGATCGTATTTCTTAGTTCCTTACGCCACAAAATCGCAATCAATATCGAATAGAGACAACTGTGAACTGTGACAAATTTTGCGACCAACTGCCAGATACTTGCTCGCTTGTGAATCTCGATAAGCATCAATCAAATATATATGATAATAAAATGAATATATTTCTAGCCGTGTGCTCTCCCACAAGCAGGCGCGACTCTCAACACGAATTTGGCGCTCAAATAGACTTATTTAGATGATTTTAGGTATTCGAATTGAAGTGTTTATGTAAAGTGTACGTTTTTAAAACGCAGCTGTACAACATCTTGCCATAAGATTTATGTTAAAGTTCTCATATCGTGATTTTATCCTTTTTTTGTTAGTTTTTTTTTTTTTTTTTTGTTTTTGTCTAAGCAAACTAGCAACAGTAACCAAACAAAAACTAGTCCTCGTCCTGAGAACCCACTCACACCAAAGCGGCTGCTGCTCGGAAGGACACAGCAATATTATAAAACATATTCAACGTATAAAACTAACCAATATTAATCAATCTTAATATAACCTTATCTTAGCAAGCTTCATTGTAATTCCTAAAAGACGTTAAAAGCCCAGCGCAATTCCTATTTCCTTATTTTATAGATTTAAGCATCGGTATATCATTCAACGCATTTGCATTACAAACTTTAATTGCTTTTTAATCGCTATTTAAATTTGTATAATTTAATAAGTGTTCCTTCCCGTAACCACCGTTGTATTTATATTCAGCTAATTGCTTACCATTTTTACGTTATTTTCGTTTTTAGCTTAAACACAGACTTATCGGTATTTATATGCATATGTATAAATTTGTATTTATATATTTCATTGGTTTCGGTTTGATATTATGCAACAATTTCTCATATTTTAGTTTTATATATTATTTTTGTGATATTAGCGTAACAACAAATTGATTATTACAAGAAAAAGGCAACTCTCGAATTAAAATTTTGAAATTTAATAAATATATATTATATTGTAACCAAAAATAAATGATATTTTAATTTACGCGCGCAAGCTAGTCGCTTATTGTTGCGCTGGTCACACCAACAAAACAAGGGTGCTTGCATGTTTTGAGCGATATGGCAACTCTGTTCTTGGGCCAAGATGGCGTCTGTCGCATAGTGCGTTTTTCGCATATTCATTTATTCAAGAAAAAGCGCTATTTAAAGTCGGAATGACCACAATTGCGGACTTGTTCACAAAGTACAATTGCACTAATTGCCAGGATGATATCCAGGGCATACGTGTGCATTGTGCTGAGTGCGAAAATTTCGATCTGTGCCTGCAAGTAAGTATAAGAACATGTATATGTGTGTGTGTGTACGCTACCACACCTACATGTACATTATTGACGCACACTGACACAGACATCGCGAAAAGAGCTGGCCCCCGTATGTGTGTTTGTGCTGACGCATCTAAAACTGTACATATAGCCGGGCGATTTCACAATGTTGTTTTTGAACAGCTGTTTTTTGTATATGCAGCAACGAAAATGTTAAAATATATATGTATATGTATGTGTATGTGTTTGAATATGTTTTTATACTCTGTTCACATAGTGTAATATATTGGTTTGGTGTCCATTTCAAGCTAGACTTGAAACTCGGAATATATGCTTCCGTAGATTCGTTTGAAATAATGTTAGACTTTCGATACAAAAAATCGATATCTAATAGTTTTCCAACCAGAGTCACCAGATTTGGCAGGTATTCTACTGATTATTTTATATTTCGAGATCGATATTTATTAGTCACAGTCAAAAGTTCGGCGACTCGTGGATTACTTAGAATAACCAACCTCATAACCAATTGTTTTAACATTATGAACAGAGTATTTGGCAGTCAGCAACAGACGACAACGTTCTTAATTGCATTTTTTCTTCTAGTGCTTCGCTACTGGTGCAGAGATTGGCGCCCATCAAAACAATCACGCATATCAGTTCATGGACACCGGCACTGCCATATTGAGCGTGTTCCGCGGCAAAGGCGCCTGGACGGCACGCGAGGAGATTCGTCTGCTGGATGCCATTGAACAGTATGGCTTTGGAAACTGGGAGGACATTAGCAAACATATTGAAACCAAGTCCGCTGAAGATGCCAAAGAGGAGTATGTAAATAAGTTTGTTAACGGCACCATTGGCAAGGCCACATGGACGCCTGCGCAATTGCAACGACCTATTCTGATCGATCATACGGAGGATGATACTGGGCCCTTGGGCGCCAATGCACTTGCCCGCCTGCCACCGCTAGAGATAAGCAACGAGGAAGCGCTTCAACTGGGCTATATGCCCAATCGTGATAGCTTTGAACGCGAATATGATCCAACTGCTGAACAGTTGATCTCTACTATTACATTCAGCTCAGAGGATGTGGAAGTTGATGTCATGCTAAAGCTGGCGCACGTTGATATCTATACACGTCGCCTTCGGGAGCGTGCACGCCGAAAACGCATGGTGCGTGACTATCAACTAGTGTCCAATTTCTTTCGCAATCGCAACTATGCATTGCATCCGGGCTTGAGCAAAGAGCAGAAGGAATTCCGTGATCGTTTTCGTGTCTTTGCACAGTTCTACTCCTGCAATGAGTACGAACGCCTGCTGGGCTCACTGGAGCGCGAGAAGGAGCTCCGCATAAGACAGTCGGAGCTGTATCGCTATCGCTATAATGGCATCACCAAGATCGATGATTGCCGGCACTTTGAGCAGCATGCGGCGGTGGCTACACATCGTTCAACGGGACCGTATGGCCATGGGAAGACAGTAAGTTGGCCATGTTCTTTGTTTCGTGTCCCCCCAAATTTGAATGCATGGCGAGTTGAATATCGTGTCTGCTAGAGCTGGAAAACAATATGGCAACTGGAAATTGTAGTTTTATCGATCGACAGTCGATTAATAAGTAGCTTAATTGTTTTCTAGCTCTGGTTCTTAGCTATGTTAGTTGAATCGCAACGCAATGAAACTGTTCTCCTTGTCTCTTGTCTCACTTTCACGATATTCAGCTCCTTTGTATTATCAACGCGCCCAACTCGCAGCGTTTGAATGGTTGTATAAGACAATGTTTAACCACAGGACAACACACATCCCTACAATGGAAGTCATCGGCCGCTAAGCTCTTCCTTGCACTCCCCTCAAGCGAATCCCAGAAAGGCGTAAGTCTGCCTATTCCATGAAATAATTCACATATATATGTATATAAATTTAATGCTTGGTATTTTACAGCGAACCGTTAAGCGGCGCCGAGGCAAGTTCAAGTTCAATCGCACCAAGAAGCATGCACCACATCGGCGACCCGACCTGCTCCGGCGCATTATTGCCCAGCAGAAGCTACTTGGATAGCTATCGGACATCGTCGGCAGCTACGACAACGATGCTGCCGACGACAATGACGACGGCGACGGCGGCGGCGATGGGGCTGAACACGGGCATGGGTCAGGGGATGACGTTGGACTCGGCAATAACAGCGACGGCAGTGACTTCCACGGCTACGATGACGGCAGCCCAGGCGAACCTGCCACACTCGACAGCAGCAGCGAAGGGCAACCCACAACATCAGCAGCAGCTGCTGCAAAGCGGCGCAAAAATGCCGTCGCAGCTAAACGAGGCCGCCGCCGGCAGCAATAGTGCGACAGAGGAGCAGCAACAGCAGCAGCAGCCGCCCAGTATGAGCTACATACTGCGCAGCCAGTTGGATGAGTTGAAGCGTCTACCAGAGCCGTTGGGCAGCAATTTGCTCACGCACAACGAGCTGGATGTTTGCAAAAAGCACAACATTACGCCCACAACGTATCTTTCCCTGAAAACGGTATGCCTAAGCGGTGCTCCATCTTTGGGTAGTCCCATGGAAATCTCGTTGCGCAAGTTTTTTATCAAATGCGGCTGGCTGAGCCACTGAACTTTGCGATGTTACTGTCGTCGTTATTGCTGTTGTTGCCATTTCCCTGAAAACACACACACACACAGAATCAATTCACTGCTTCAAAGACTTGAAATTAATCTTTATTTTATTATGTAGTTATATAGTTAAAATGTATGATAATAGGTCGCCCTAAACAAATTTTATATTGTTTGATATATAAATAATTTTTTTTTGTACAAATTTCGTTGTTGCCATTTTGAGGTAAACTACAAAACTCCTATTTGTATTTAAATTTAACTTGTATCAAGTCAAGCGGACAGATTCCCATAATTTCTTAAACAAAGAATACGCTTGTTTTTGTATTTTTAACGAATATGCGATAAATGTAAAATGTGAGAGCTCATACAAAAGTTCCAGTTCAGCATTGTTTGTATGGTTAAAGAACAAGGTTTAAAAATGTAAGCTTAAGTAGGGCACCTTAACAATTATGTATGTGGCCACATATGTGAGTATTTAATGAAGTGTATATGAATTAATAAATGTACTGAATAATGCAAATTGGGAATTTCATCAACAGCTCATCTATAGACATTTACATTTAAAATACATGCTAATACCACAAACCTATAAAAATATAAAGTATTATATATGCATAAGTTGTTCGTTTTTAATCTAAAATAGGCAGAATTTGCGTTGAACGCATCTACACGACATCACTTGTTCCTCAGGAAATAACGATATAGGGTATTCTTTTGTGTGGTGCTGCCGGCGCCACTGGCGCCGCCGCTACTGCTGCCGGTGTTGGCTGAACTACTGCCACTGCTTGTTGTTGCCTGCTCCACGGCATTGGCTGCAGCTACCACCAACGAACTACGCCACGAGGCAATCAATTCATTCTGCAGCTCAACGGGTAGCTCCTTAAACACCTGCGCATCTACACCGGCGGGGCAGGCAAGATTTGCGAGTGAATCACCAGTGGCTGCCTCTGTTGTCGCGCCACTGTCAGCAACACTGGGCGCTGGTGCGGCCACCTGTAACGCTGGCGCCATGGTGGGCGTGCTAGGCGCACTAACCGTATCATCCATGGGCGAGGGCAGCGGCGATGATGCCGTTGAACTGGCATTGGAGCTCATGCGACTTGCCGTGCGTGTGGGTATAAAACGCAGGCTACCATCGATGCGGTTGAGCAGCGTATTGGGTGGCTGAATCGTGCGAAAGCGTGGCGCTGCAGCTGCTCCAGATGTGGACGCGGCTATGGGGCTCATGGGAAAATCCTTTTCACTGTCGCGTGAATTTAGCCGCAGATCGCATACGCGTAGTTTGCTCGGCGAAGCCACATCGGCGGCCGTGTCCGCCGCATCTACTGCCAGGCGACTGCGCTTATTGACCAGCACACGTCCAATGCGACTCTTTTTCGGCGAAGGCTCCACTTCGGTTTCAGAGAAATCACTAAAATCCGAATTGGTTGCCGCCGATTCGGAGCCATTGTCCAAGAGCATGGGCACCGGTGACGCTGTGGTCGCGCGTCGCCTATAAAACTGATCACTTGGTTTGAATGTTGTGGGTGACGAACGAAAGGCGGCTTCATCGCCGCTCATTGCTGTCGGACTGCTCTCCGACGTGGGACTAGTGAGACTCGTGTTCGTTAGAGATGTAATGGACTGGACCTCCAGGTCAGCTTTTTTAATTAGAAAATTTGCTATAGACGAGGAGCCAACTTTGCGTTCCTGAAACTTGGAGAAGGCCAGGCCAATCAATGTGATGTTGAAGGGTTTCTTCAGATCCACAATGCGCTCAAAAAGACGCATTATGATCTTAAGTAGCTTATCTAATGCGCCATCCGCCAGCTGAACTTTGCAAACACCTGTCTCACCAGGGCATACCGAGGTCTTGAAGAGGGAGGGCAATATGTTAGCTTGTTTGGTTTCGCGATGGCTGGTTTTCTTCTGGGAATCAAATTTGCGCAGAACTACCTTGATGGCAATAGGTATACGACCGTCTTCGGCCACCTGTAAATGGATAAACGAATGAGTTTCTAATTGTTTTCACTTAGACGTTGCTGCTTGCCTGCTCCATCAGCCGCTTGAGCAGCATGCGAAATTTGTCCGTCACATCCGTGTGCACCGAGATGGTCTTGCAGGCATCCTCGACGCTTATCGTCTTGGGTTTGCCCGTTGCACGCACGGAGCTGCCATCGCGCCCCAATGCCAAATCGCGCAGTTTGGTTGCCGTCTCGAAGCCGAACTTCTTACGCATAAACTCCATGTCGCATTGCTGCAGCTGCTCCACAGTGGAAACGCCCGCCTCCAACAGCAGTGTTTGCGTTTTCTGGCCAATGCCTGTGACGCTATGCAAATCGTTAAGTTCCCGCATAAACTGTTCCGCATAGGTGGACACTAGTACAGTCTGCTGATTGGGCTTGTGGCGACTGCCCACGAGCTTGGCCAGCAGCTTATTATAGGCAATGCCTGCACAACAGGTGATGCCCAGCCGCAGATGCAGCTCGTCACGTATCTCCTGGGCTATGCGCGTGCCTATGGCCAGACGCTGGGCGCAGCCACAGCTGCATGCGGTCAGTGCTGTGCCATCCGCCGGGTAAATGTGTCCAATCGGTGGCTTACGCTGTGCCTCGGCTGCATGAGCCTGCCGCAAATCCACCAGCGCCGTCACATCCATAAAGTTCTCATCAAATCCCAGCTTCTCCACATCTGGCGTGTAGTTGAGCAGCAGATCGAATATCTTTTGGGACATTAGGCGATATGGTGCCAGGTCCTCGCCATTAACCAACACCAGATCCGAGCACAGTCGTTGCGCCTCTGTGATACCCATCAGCTTGGTAACTCCTTTCGCCCGTGCCACATAGTTGCAGGTGACCACACAATTCTTTTGCTGAACGGCCAACGGGCGGTTGCGCAGTGTGGGCTCCCGCAGCTCCTCCACCTGAGCATAGAAATAGTCCATGTCCAGGTGGATAATGGTGCGCTGGTGTGGTTCGCTCTTATTTAGTACGCTGGCGAAATCCATCTTGCCGCCTGACAACAACAAAACAAAAAGCGAATTTAATACTCTGTTGCTTGAATGAAAAAGAGAGTATATGGAGTTCGTTTAAAACTTGGCATATACATATACTCCGCATCAGATAATGTCTCTATCCACGTCCACAAATGGCTAAAACTGTTATTTCCTAGTCAAATCTTGAGTTGCACGGCATTACGGTAACAGTCTTAGAGTCAGCTGTTATTAAAATAAAAACAGAGCATTAAGCGGTAGCTTTCACCCGACAAACATTTTTTGTATCATCGTATTTTCGCGTTCTTTCCGCCGCAAAACAAAACAAAGCGCAACAACAACTGCCGCCCGCCTCCTGTGTCCGCCCGTGACCTTTACAAAGAGCTACGCGTGCCGACGCGTCGTCGTCGAGCAGAATATTTCGTCACTGAGCGCGTAGCAGCCGTCAGGCGGCAGATAGCAAAAGAGAGAGAAACAGGGAGAGAGAGAGAGAGAGGGAAAAAGCATAGCTCTAGGCCAGCGGGTGTCGGCGAGCGCTGATTATATTATGATTTTTTATTTAGCGCGGAGTTCGCCTTGACGTACGATGAGAAATTTTCGTAGCTGCTGTTGCTTGCGCCTCGCGTCCCGCACGGTATTCACACCCACAATATCGGCAGCCGACTTTCTAATCAAACAAACACATGCGAAACAAGATGTACAGTGCACCGGCAAATTGTTTAGTTCGTCAACAATATTGCACATATTTACAATACACTAGCCAAGACAATGATGACGCACAAATTATACAGTAAATCGAGCTGGGCAAGAGAAAATTGTCACTCAATGTTAATAGTTGATCATATATTTGAACCGTTCTGCTTGCACACTACACACAATTTATTTGTTATGATGTTTAGAAGCGTAAAAATTTCCACGAAAAAAACATTTATTGCATTTATTTACCTTTTAACAAACAATAAACTAATCGCTGCGAAACGCATCGACAACACTTTCGACAACGTTTGCGAATATTTTGTAGCGATAAGTTCTATCGAATGCCTCCACACACAAACGTATCGAACTCACTGTGTGCAATAGTTAAGAGTGTGACCGTTTGGCGATATGTGATGTTGTGTTTTTACTGATCTGGCAGCACCCTAAGACTGCCAGCTGACTTAAAAATATAAAAAGCATGTGACGTCAGCGTTGACCTGGCGCCGTTACACATTTGAAAATGCGGTTAATCTAAATTTAAGCCTCTATCTGCGGCTCATCGCATTTTCATTGTTATTACAACAATTTAATGCCTGTTCGTGGTGTTTTATTTTTTTTTTTGTTTCTTAATGATATTCATGAGTTTTCCATTATTTTACATGATGAAGGCGCGTTGTTTGTCGGTCAGCAGCAAAAAATGCCATAAAGCAATGCTCCGATAAGTGGGTGGGCTCCGCAGCGCTTGGGGGCAGCTGTGGTCACGCGCGATGCCGATGCCGTTGCCTTTGTTGCAACAATATGGAGCAGCCTTATGGCTGGTTGCTGTTATTATTATTTAAATACCCTAAATCCATTGAGAATGGGTAACGAGAGTATGAAGACTGTGGGCAAGTGTGTGTAACAAGCAGATGGAGGCTGATATGATACTAGATCAAAATGACGAGCAGAGTCGCCTGTTTAAAGGTGTGATATTTGAAATAAATATTCTCTTATACCTTACTCATAATTTCGATAAATATCCATTTGAAGAGAAAGAACATAAGAAACAATTTCAGTTTTAAGCCCTGCAAATTCCTTAAAGATCGGACTATAAGCACCGAAGGTAATCAAAAATGCATTACCCATACATATTGTGGGACCAAGTGCTATAAAGTGTTAGTTTTGTGTACATATATATATGTGCATATGCATAGAGTAATATAAGGTGCTATGTTTAGGGTATCTGCTAGTCGGGCACTGCCGACTAGAGCATTCTTTTCTTTTTTTGCCTGTGGTGCTGTATGAAATGCGCTTGGAATTTGCCCCAACAAGCCAGCAACAGCAACTCCAACAATATGCAGGCCTTTGCGCTATCGTCGCGCCTTCTTAGTCGTCCTCGTCCTCGTCCTCGTGCTCGTCCTCGCCGGCGTGCTCGTCCTGCGCCTGTGATAATCGCCCTTTGCCTGCTGCTTGACAGGCAAACAATGCTGTGAATTTGATTAAAATCAGGCTGCGTGTGCGTCGCAGTTGTTGTTGTTGTTGCTGTTGTTTGGCTTTTGGCTGCTACATTTGCTTGATTTTCTGATTTTCTTATTGAAATCTTGTTTGTGGCACAGCCGCTGCCGCAGGCGCTGCGTTGCACTAATTGTGAAACGCCATAAAAGGCGCGTCCACAGTTTGATAGCTGTCCAAGAGCTCTAAAACAAGGCCAGAGCCAAGGAATAGCTCAGCTACTTGGCACATTTACAATGTAGCCAAAAAAAAAAAAATTTGAAAAAAATAAACTAATTAGTTGGTTGCTCGCCAACTTTCCAGCCAAGCGTTAACTGAAACGCAAAAATTATTAAAAAAAAAAGAATTAAATATTTATACGTGCACTTTGGGTGCAGGATCAGCCACACGGCGAAGCGGAACGGATGTTCTTGCCCGGCATCAGCGCCGCATTCTCTCTGCTCATTTGAATACCCTGTTCACAGATGCAAGAGGGAAGGTTAGGCGTGTCTGTAGAAATCCGAAGTTTTCCAAGGGCTACCCGTTGATAAGAATCGATATCTAAATCAATTTTGGAACTGATATTAGTAACGTTTACAGCCAAAAGCTTGAAGACCGCATCTTAAGATCAGGCTACGTTCACAAGTTCGTCTGTGCACACAGTTTGAAAGTCACATCAGTCGGGCTGCAGTTGTAAAGCCACAATTCATATGCTCAAATTTCCTTCAAATTTAAATTCAAATAAATATCTTGCTTTTCAGCCTTCAAAAGCTGAACCTAAACCCGAAATACCTTAAATTTTTATCCTGGTTTGGATTAAAATAATACGTCTTTAAGATAGACTCGATCTGAAAGCCTTAATAGCTCGTGCTGCAACTATTGGATTTATTTACACATATTTAGAATTTCGAAATTGCGAGTCGTGATGTGCTTCCTGGGTTCGCCTTTAGTACTTGAACAGAGTATTGAGCAGTCATTCACAGCCGTTTGTAATGTTCTTGGTTTTTTTTTCGGGGTGTGTGAAAATCGCAAGAGAACTGCGTGTGTGTGTGTGTGTGTGTGTGTGTGCGGCTAGTGCGGGGCAGCAAAATGTTAATAAATCTTATTTTTATCATTTGGCTATAAATACTGAATTTTTAGCTCCGGCCATGCTCAATTTATGACCATTATTTATGTCGGAAAAGCGAAAACCTCAAACATGTTGCCACACTTTTTGCGCCGTTTCGCCCGTTTGCCGTGTTGCCGGCTTTCCCGCCGCCGCTTTTCCGTGGCCTGCATTGTGTATCCATTTTGTTGCTGGCCAAAGGAAAAGATACACAAACATATTATTGCAATTTTCCAGTTGCTCCGCCCACGCGCGCTGCGCGAGTTAAATAAAAGGAAATATGAAAAATTGCATTACACCTTAATAAACACCTCACCTGGCAGCGGCAACAGCAACAGCAACAACAACATGAGCAGCAGCCGCAGCAGCCGCTGCAGCAGCGACTGCGACTGCGACTCCATCAGCATCTTCGGGTGTATCTCGAATCGGAGCTGCTGCAGCTGTGTGCCCTGCAGTGTCCATAATGAAGATTGTCTGCGGTTTAAGTGGACGCACGTTTGCCGGGCCTCAGTGTCTGGTCTTGGTGCCCGGCTCCAGCTGCTGGATGGATGGGGCTGGGGCAGGTAACTGATCGCGATCATTTAGGCGCTCATCTGGCATAAAATTGTTAGAAACGCCCCGTGTGTATGCGCTGCTCGCCTGAAGGTACTCCGCATCCTCCCACTTGTTCTTCAAAATATGCCACCTCCCTCCCGCCCCCTCGACCATTCTACCACACTCTACCCTTCTCCTCCGCGGGCCGCATAACGTTTTTGCCATTAAATTAATAAATTAATGCGATCGTGCACGGCTCAGACTGCAATCCACATGACCAAAAAGAGCTCCCCCAAAAACGCTTGTCAGAATTTTAAAAAACTCAATAAAACAAGTAAATGCACTCCAGTCTAGTATGCTCGGCTACAGAGATACTCTGCACCCAGTGCTAAGCCGCCATTATACACATTCGTATTGCCATACACATACACAAAAGACACACACATCTAAATGTGTGTAAATACCTGGAAAGATGTACAATTTTTGGGGAAAACAGGGAGAGGTATCTGTGCATACTACAGGATGTAGACTCTACATATCAGTTGTATTGTATCTCGCTTTGAAATGTTTCCAGATATGCTCAAACAAAAGGATTTCGATAACGATTTTTATCGATTTCCTCGAAAGGGGATAAGTTATGGATAAATTGAAACAGACCAAACTTCCGACAGCCATTCGAGGTGCTGCGTTTAATCATCATACCCTTTTTAGTCGTTTTCAAGAGGATTAGTGTTTATAAAACTGCGCCGTTTGGTTCATCAAAAGCTCATGAGCTTTTGTCATAAATTTTTCTGCAGTTAGCACTGGGCAGACTTGGCTGAGGGGGGCTGGGAGCGAAACGTTTTCATGGTGCTGGGCTTGGGACACAAAAAAAAAATAAATTTGACATAGAAAGCTGCATATTGCACTGGCACGGGTTATACCCTGTATTTTTTAAAATTTATCCATGTGTATCTGAATACCTGCAGTTTGCATAACAGATAAAGATGTTTCAACTTTTTAAGAACTCCGACTCGAAACATATATTTGACGTATAGATTCTTGTTTGGCAAGTCCATGTTCATTTTAGATTTACTATACCTCTGCACGGCTTCACGAAAAGCGATAACTATCGATCCCAGTAGGATAAATCATCGATACTAGATGAGAAAGTGTCTCCAAATTTAAGGTACTTACTCTAGGCTTATGCTACGTTTTTCTTTACTGTGCACTTTTTCGTTTGCCATACACTTAAATTTATTTTTCGATAACTCTGCACAAATCGATAGCTATCGATTTATTAACTGTTCTCTTTAAGTAAATCTCACAGATTATTCTCATGCACCTGCTATAATATGATATGTAGTAGCTGTGTCTCCCATCAGACGCTTTTATAGGGTATTTCTTGGTCAAGCACTATCCTACTAGATAACGCTTGCTTGTTATTGTTGTTGTCATCGTTGTCGTGATCTTAAAGTGGGTGTTGCTAAGTGCCTGATGCTGCAGACGCAATGGCTGGCCTGGCCTGGCTTGGGTCTGCTCTGGCCGGGCTCGGGCTCGGGCTTGCGGAACCAGTCTGCCATTTTTTTTTTCTGGCTTGCAAGCGCGCGCCCAACCGCTGCCCCAGCTCCTCCTGCATTATTAACGCGCAGCGAGCGCGGCCAAAAGGCAATTGCAACAGCAACAACAAAGAAATAATTGCACATGGCAGCAACAACATCAGGCACGGATATACTTGGGGCCGTTCCCTCGCTGGTTGTTTGGAGCATCGTTCGTTGTGTGTTGCTCTGTTAATTTTACAGCCATGTCTGATATTGCTAAATGGCTGTGAGTGGATTCGTTTAAGCACCAATTTTATTACCAACAAGCATCACGTTGCATCTGCATCAATTCGGGCTCCATTCGTTGTTGTTGCTCTTGTTGCCGCTGCTGCTGCAAGTGCCAGTGCCAGTGCCAGAGCCTGGGCTTGGGCCAGTGCCAGCGAAAAGATCCAATCACATGCAATCCTTTCGCATTGGCCTCGCCAGTTGTAACGGCCAACAACAACAAAAAACTTGTTGCCCATTATGAGAGCGGCCTGACCACAGTTGTTGCTGTGATTTTTGCGCCTATTTTGCATTTGGCAGGGGATTGGCTGTTCACTAAACAACGCCCTCCTGCAGCTGCCATTAATCGTTAATCACCCTGGCATTATATTCCACAGATTTTATAACAAATCATTTTTTAATATTTATTCAACTCAAGCTGGTTGCTTGAAATAAACCAAAAAAGAAAAATCTCTTTTCCTAAGAACATAAAAAATTTGGCCTATTTTTCTTGCTCAAAAAGAGATGTTTTACAATATAAGAGTATGCATGTTGTTCAAGCGTAGAACTGTTTTTACATTCTTTTTATATTTATTTTCTATACTTTTAGGAAAATTTAACAAAACCTTAAGAAATTATCAACACATTTAGAATTACCCTATTAAAATTTGCTTTTGTTTTCTACAATGGGGAAATTCGGGCCTGGAAAACAATTTTACTATAAAAATGAGGCTTATCCTTTTCATTTTCGCCATGACAATCAATAAATATTTTCATTACAAATTTCTAAAAAGTAAAAGTTAATTATTATTTAAATTTATAAATAATGCACTAAATAGAATATTTTAAGTATGCATAGAAAAAATAAGTTCTGCTAATGTAATGTGATTTGTATATTTATATCATATATACCATTCCATTTAATATATATTATATACATAGTTTTCTATTTTTATTTACTATTTGTTGATTTGCAAGTAATATTTTTTATTTCTAGATACTTTTTCTATGATGGATAAAAAAAAAAACATTTTTCCAACTGTGAAATATTTGCTTGAGGTTTTCGGCTGTGCACAAAGGATATACATACATATGTACATAAGGATATTGTACATAGCCGAAGGCCTCAGAAGACAGTACTATATATTTGTTATTGAGTTAGCTATAAAACCGTACCTATGAAACCTTTGAGATGGTTCGAGTAGCGAACCAAATAATCCTGGTAATTAACCTTATTACATTTGATTTTAGTTAAGCTAAGTTACTTGGGTTAGCTATAGTTTCAACTCAATTGCCCTACAAGTAAGTCAAAAAAATTAAATAATGAGTCCCTACTTAAAAATTTGTTTAAGGCACAGAGTATTTAAACGGCACTGGCAACAGCCTTAGCAACAGCGACTGTCTCTCTCGTTATTGGGAAAACAAATATTCATTTGCCTACTTGAGAACTTTTCACGCGTTTTCAACAGAAATGCCATAAAATTCCAAGTAAGCGGTGAAAATCCCCAAGCGAAGGTAATTAACGGAGGCATTAAACACAGCGTGAGTGTGTGTGTGAGAGAGAGAGAAAGAGAGAAGGTGGCGCAGGGAGAGTGAGCGAGACAGTGCCAGAGATATGCCAGTAATTAGTTTTTCCCCAGGTTAATGCGTTCCGATTGCTGCCCAGTCTCTTAAGCGAGGTGCATTTAAAGCCTTTCTCGTTGATTTTTATTTTTATTTGATTTCGTTTTTGGTTCTTTTCCTATTTTACACCCTGTACCCATTGAAAACGGGTAAAAGGAGCATATTAGTTATGTGCAAATGTATGTAACAGGCGGAAGAAAGCATTAAATGTAAATATTGATGCATATATTTCTGATCAGAATGAGGACTGACTCCATCTAGCTATATTTGTCAGTCTGGCTGTCAAACCGCGTCGATCCCGGAAACTACATAAGCTAGAGACTTGAAATGTATATTCTCGTATATCGTGCGTAGAACAAGCTTAGCAGTTTTTTATACGACATCTTCTTCAGTTTTCTATATAACGAATAGTATTGCTTTTGCGACATGGGTATTTAACACAATTTGAAAATGGGAGGGCTAGACCCTTGCGCATGCTTTTATACTCCATTTGAAGCCCTGAAAATATCTTAAAGATCGAACAATAAGAGCCGCAGTTAATCGAGAATGCAGAGAAGACAGCTAGTGGGTCTGTGACAGAGTATCTGTTAGTCAATCACTTCCGACAAAAGCCCTCTTACTTGTTTTAAATAAAATTCCCGAAAGTGGCGGCCATTAAGTGGACGCCAGGACAAGAGTATGGCTATTTTAATGGACTACCAACGCGGAGTGCTCCAATAAAAAGAAACTCCTATTGTTGTCAGCTAATGAACAGCGTGTTGGCGCGGTGGAGGGGGGTAGCTGGGGCAGTGACGAGGACGGCGACGGCTACGCTGTCGGCACAGATTAACATATTAAACGAAATCGATAGCGATAAGGATAAGGATAGCAAACGCAGCCAGTTAAAGGATATTGCGGCACAGGCGCACGTGATGCGCTAATTTTTGCTCTGACACTTGCCCGCAGCTTCGAGCGAGTATGGGGCGATGGAATGGAAGGGAGATGGGTGGGGGAGCGGGGGTTGACGACGGCGTGTGGTCCGCCGGATATGTCAGAAGTGTCGTCATTGTGGCACGTGACTCGCTTTACGAAAAACAAAAAAAAAAACATATAAAAATAAAAAAGATGCGAAAACTGACAAAGCCAACGCGGGCGGGCGATCGGTCCTTGGCCAGGACCTTGAGGGGAATCGCATGCTGAGGCTGCGCGCTGCAACTGGAACTGTAATCTGAGACATTGCGCTGCCACCAAAAGCGGCAAGGGCGAACAATGAGCTTTAATTTGTTGAAAAGTACCTGAAAAAAATATCATATAACACAGAACTGAGGCAAGCAGCTAAGCGCCAGACTTACCTTTGCGGGTGGGTTAAAAGTTCAACTGCAACAAGGTTCTTTGAGCTCCAGGAATTAGCTGAGCGCAGCTTGTGAAAAACAAGCTGCAAAGCGGGTTCGAACCGAAACAGTGCAAGCACAAGGAAACGAACCAGTTGAATAATTAATAAGTAAGCCCTTTTTTATTAGTATAAATCCTGCAAACATAAGTTAATTATTTTATGATTTTAATTTAATTTTGGAAAATCAGGATCAAACCTAAATAACCTTGAAACTTCGAGTCGAACCGTGATAATAATTTAAGCTTATTTGATTTAATTTTAGGTAAGTTTTAGTTATGGATAAGTTATCATTGAGTGCACTACATATATATACCTAACTTGATTCACACGAATTGTTATCTATTGTGAACTACATTCGACAGTGTAAAGGTTACATAGGAACTGCGACGAAGGATACATCACGAAATAGAGCTGTGAAGTAAAATTAATCAGAAATTTAATGGTAACATTTTGATTAAAATGTACTTTAAATATACTTTAAAAAGATCAAAAAGGGGAATAAATTTAGCAGCATACATTTTTCCGCGCTGGAACGAGAGTTAAGACAAGGAATGTTATTCTGTTCAAGTTGTCATTGGTGGAAAAAACAGGATTTCGTTGTTTATCGATTGCTTGGGAATGGGGAAGTTATCGATTATCAAAAACAAACTCATACTGCGCGGGTACTGGGCAGACCTAGGTTCAAAATTTCTAGCTAAAGGTTCTAGCTCTTATAGGTTCTGAGCTTGACGCGCTCATACTACTTTGGCGATTGATACTGATCGAGAAAGTATATATAAATTGTGGGGTCGAAGAAGCTTCCTTCTCTCTGATATATACATTTGCACAAATACATTATACCCATTTTAGTCAATTTCAATGAGTTCGGGATATAAAAATCTATAAATTTCCAAACAAAGCAAGATCGAGTAGTTTTTAAAATTTTGGAGAACCATGTGCATTGGATTCTTAGAGTATTGGAGCAAGCACAACTGTGTTTTTTTTATACAAAATTAAATAATTTCTATGGGAACTATTTGTACTATATATTAGTAAGTAGTATATAGAGTATTAGAAGTTTAGTATTAGAAGTTTAGATCTTAGCAGATGCGATTTTGACTATATCTTAGAAATAGACTATATTTTGATTATTTCATAAGAAACGTATTAGGTCGAAAATTAAATTAAATTAATGGAAATTAAAAAAAATTAAATAAATACACCAAAAATTGTTGTACGATATGGGTCGCCTACAGATCTGGCAGTATATGTTAAATGCTGTTTATATGATGGATTGGTATATATGATTGTTGTATATGTAATAAAATCAATAATAATAGTATTTAACCCCAAATTTATGCCTCGATATCAGGCATTTCCCAGTCAAGCACACTCAATCACGGCATTAATATTTTTTAAAGTATTTCTTAATGTGTTTTTTTTTCTCACACTACCAAAATCGTTTTAGAGATTGCCCTTTTTGTTGTGCCTGGCTGGGCTGGCAAGTCAATCAGCTCTGAATAGTGCCAGAAACTGAACGTTGGCATATTTTGGACGTCACCCCGATCAATTTCCCATAGCACGCCCGGCACGGCTGGCACAGCCAGCGGCCAGCGGCCAGGGTGGCTGCTGTCTGTTGGGCTGGTGCACGTTTGGGCGCACTTGCAACCCCGTTATTGCAGCATCCTGGGCAGCACCAGCTAAGCGGATATTCATTACACGAACCGCACGCTGGCACGCGCCGCCGCTTTGACAGTAGCTCAACCCCCGCATGTCGCACGTCCTTGGGTGAGCTTACACTTTACATATGTCACTGATATCCCCGTGGGAGTGTTTGTCGCCTTGACTTTTGAGTGGGAAGGGGGGTGGGCAGGGGCTATAAGCAGTTTGGCCCCTGTCCGCTCAGACGCAAAAGTCATGCCGCTGATCCTGTTTGCTGTAAATAATGCGATTAACGTGCAACACGCAGCGCTTAGCGCACTTTGCTGCGGCTTGGCCGGGATGCGGGAGAGGAAGGTGGGGCGCTAATGAGACAGCGACGCTGTCAAGGATTAGAACAACAAATTCGAGCCTAAGCATGGTGTGAAATATATGTGGCAGAATGAACAGAAAAATTATTGATACATGTTGCAAGCAGTGGGAAATCGCTTGTGATTGGCCATTGTCTCTACTGAGGCTGCCAAACCATTAAAATGTCTTTAATGCGGCACCCAGCCCCCTTTACCATCCGCCCCCCTCCCTGGACGTATGCCATTCACTGACTTGGAAATAATTCCATAAACTTTGCGACTGCCAAAAGTGCACTGAAATAATCGCATTAATGGAGCCCCAGCCACGTGTGAGCTGACTAAATGACTAACTGACTAACTGACTGCCTGACTGATTGACTGCTTGACTGACTGACGCTCTAGCCGTTCGTCGGCGTGGGGTCGCGCCGTGTCATCGTCGTGCCGCCCGGGCCCAAAATGTCTGGGAGCTGCCGGCGGCTGCTGTTGCACTTTGTCTTTTGGGCGTGTCTCATAAAACGCTTGGAAAATCACATTTTCCAGCCAAAGCCAAGTGTGCGAAAATTTGATAAACGCAGCCGAAAACAACAACAAAACAAAAAAAAAAAAAGAACGCGCGCCATGATTTATGAAGCGAGCCACAAGCAGGAGGCGGCGATGCGAGCTAAGCCAAATAAAATACATAAAAAAAATTGAAAAAATAAAAATACAAAAAATACATACAAAAAACATAAAGAAAAACCATTCAATAAAAAAATCCAAGTAAAAATTGACTAAATACAAAACATGACAGACGGCGTGCGAGTATTAATAATGCGTTCAGGCCAACGGCGGTGCCTGGATTTGGTTGTGGTTGCGCCGCCAAATGTGGCACGAAATGTGATTGTGATTGTGTGTCTCCTCTATGTATGTGTGTGTGTGTGTGTGCTGCCTCTTTTATAAAGTGCAAAAAACGTTGTACTCTTTTTCACATTCACATTCGATAAAAATCGCATGATCATAAATTTACACTTTGCACAGCCTCCGCGGCAACGCCCACCCCGAAAACGGCAAAAGGGGTGAGCCGGCGGCGGCGGGGAGTAGCATTGCTGCGGGTTGCGGGCTCTACTCTAGTGGCACGCAATAATGCTCTGTGAACTGGACGCTCCTGGACGCGTGAACGATTGGTAAATTGTTGCGCTGACCGCCCCCTCCGCCCGTTGAATTTCATTGCTTGCTCTGTTTTTTGTTGCGAGTTGCACGTTGCACGTTGCTGGTCGCTTGTGGCACTATTGCAATCGCTGCCTTTCGATTTTATTTCTTCTGTGCTTACAAATCGTTGAAATATTTTTCATACAGAAAAAGCCGCGCGCGCTTTACTTTTGAACGCCCACAAGAAACGCGCTGGTGTGAAGATTTTTTAATTGCCGCGCGTTTTGCGCGCGTCCCTAAACGCTAGCACAGAGCGTGCGAAAAACGCTAGGAAAACGCGTGGAAGCTTATGCCAATTTCAATGCTGTCTCGCTCTAAACTTTACACTTGATTAGGCGAGTGGGTGCGTGTGTGTGTTGGTAGGGGGGGGGGGGGGGGGGTGTTTAAGCGTAGGGGGTGTTTGCATAATTAATGCGCTGCACATAATTTGCATATTTCTAATTTAATCGAAATGATTTCACAACATCCACAAAAACAATAAATCCAAATTGAATATGCAGCTACAACAATAACAACAACAAATGCAATGAGGCAAGGCCGTGCAATGCTGCCACCAATGCGCCCCTCTGGCCAAAAACCCTCTGTCCCATTTTGTGCTATGTGTGCATGTCGCTGTAACATTATAAATAAATCAAAATACAATTTCTCAGAAATTGCGATGGCATATCAAAATCTTGAGTGCGAGTGCGCGCTGGCACCCAAGTCCGAACCCCAGCACCCGTGGCCCGTGGCCCGTGGCCCGTTCCCCAGCAGAACCCTCTAAACATGGTCACAATTTCCACCCAAAACATGTCGTAGGCAAATCTGGCCAGAAGGGGGCGGTCCGAGACAGCGTCGCGCAAGTGCAGGCGACAACGGAGGCGGAAAAGTCGTTGTTCAAGTTGTTCCTGTGTTGGGATGTGTTGTCGTTATTGGTCAGGCGGAGGCACCAACAACTGGCTGCCACCGCGAGGCAGTCACATGTTGCACACACGACTTGTCCTCTGCCTCATGCCGTGCAATTATTTTGAACTTAAATTCGTATTTTGTACGAATCTGGCAAATGCATCTTGTCTCTGCGACTGCCTTGTGTGTGCCGGGGCAACATTTCATATGCAAACCTAGATGCCAATATGCAACAAGAACAACAGCCACAGCAGCAGCAACAACATCTACACAAACAACAACAAGTACAACAGCAATGGCAACAACAATGTCAGCATGCAACTTTAACTAGCGCTAAATTGTCAGCAATTGTCGTTTAGTTCATGCTGCTTGAAATGCTTGGCAACATGCTGCTCTGCAACATGTGGCTGCAATAAAGTTTATACACTGTGCAGAAAACTTGGATAAGTGCGAAAAGTTGAAAAATATATTGCAAATCCTTGCCGATAACAGCAATGTTAATACACTGAGCGAAAAAGTCAAAATAAATCTAAAATAAAATGGGATTTTACATTAAAGTGTAAACAATTTTTCTTGCATATTTAAAAAGGATCATACACTGTGCGAAAGTAGAAATAAAACTAAGATATGAGCCTTGGAAATTTTGTAAATACACTGTAGAAAAATGCATACAAAAGTTCAATAAAATACGTTTCTGAGCTTACAAAAATTCTGTTCTTTTTTTTTTTACTTTACAGCATGAGACTGCAATAAAGCTTAAACACACGTAAAATATGTTTGAAATAATAAATAACTTAAATAATTTTAGGGCTTTTATGAAATTTTTAAGCTGCTGTTGATAAATTTTAATAAAATATTTACAGCTTGCATAAAGCTTGTACACAGTGCGAAAATGGAAATGTAAAACTAAAAAGTCCAGCATGAAAAGTTTTGGTCGTGATAATAAAAGAGCTTTTTTCCCTACATACATAGTTCATATAGTTTATAATATAATATAATATATAATTATATTTACAATTATTCATATATCTTTTTGCGCATTTTTGTTCTTTTTTTATACATTTTTCTATTTATTTTTATTCTTAAAACAAAAAATGTTTTTAAAAAAATTTACCTTGTGTTGGCCAATTGATTTGTGCTAAAGATTTCTCTAAGTGCATGTTTGCTCTCACATTTAATCACTTGAGCTCTGTTGGATGGGTGCAAAAGTCGAAACAAAAAAAAAAAACAAAAACAAAAAAGAAAAAATAATAAAATAAAAATAATCAAACGCCAATTCATACTTGAGAGTCCTGCTCGTCGAGGCGCCCGGGTCTGGTGCCATTGGGCACGGCTGGCTGCCTGCCCATGATCCAGTGCTGCATGCGTCGCAGCCAGCCTTCCTCCTCCAGGATGCGATAGAGTTGCATCAGCAAGATGATGAACACCACCAACAGGGTGAGGAAAGCCAAGACATCACGTGTCGTCCAATATGGATGAATGCCGGTGACACCCGCTCTTGTTTGAGCCTGTGCCGCATCCGGCTGCGCTAGCTCATCCAGCGTTGCTCTGGCGTCCATGTTGCTGTCCGGCTTGTGCAGGCAGTGCACGGGCAGGTGGACGCCACGATCGCTCAGGTAGAGCAGCATCTTGTGCATAAAGCTGTAGCTGCCCTCGGTATCGCAGATGCCCAGCTCCTGCAGATGCGGATGCTGGCGATGGAAGATTTCGTGGTCGAACTGATGCAAGCGATTGCCCTCCATATGCAGACGCTGTAGGCGCGGCAGGGCTGCAAAGTTTTGTGCGCTCACCGCGAGCATATGATTGTAGGATATGTCCAGCTGGAGCAGATGCGTCGGCAGCAGCGCCGTGTCTGGTGGCAGACTGCGTAGCTGATTGTGGGCCAGGTTCAGATGGGTGAGACTGGGCAGCAGCAGGCTCAGGCTGTCCGCACTAGACAGCGATTCAATTTGGTTTTTGGCCAGATCCAGACGCTGTAGATTCCACATGCCCTGCAGGAGCGACCATGTCGCATTGCCGCTCAGCTGATTCCCATGCAGGTCCAGTTCGATGACGGCGCTCTTATCGCCAATGCTCAACTGAGTCAGCGTATTTTTGCCCGCCTGAAGATTGATAACGCCGCCGTCGATGATCAGGCGCCGCACACCGCTGCCCTCCAGCAGCAGCCTTTGAGCGCCCAGCAAATGCAGCTCTTCCAACTGGCCACAGTTGCTCAGATCGAGCAGACGCAACTGGGACAGTGCTGCCAAGGAATTGGGCTCAAACTGTGCCAGCTGATTGCCACTCAGCAGCAGCGTTTGTAATTTGCCATTGCCGGCAAAGGTCTGTCCATTGATCTGTCTAATCTCATTGTCACTCAGATCGAGGTGCCTGAGATTTGTGAGTGCTCCAAAAGCACCCTCCATCAGTTGCGTGATCCCATTGCCCTGCAGTCCCAGTAGCTGCAACTGCGCCAGACCCTCAAAGGCATTGGCGTGCACAACCTGTATGATATTGTGGTCAAGTTGAAGCACCTGCAGCTGCTGCAGTGTCCCAAACTGTTGCTCCTTCAGCCGTGCTATGTGATTGCGCTGCAGCAGCAGTTCCCTCAGCTGCGGCGTCGCTTGGAAATCCTCCTTGTTCACATGGTAAACGCTGCAGTTCTGCACCAGCAGGCTGCGCAGATTGGGCGCCTGTCGCAGCAGCTCCACGGGCAGCACACGCATGCGACTGTTGCCCAGCAGCAGTTGCTGCAATTGCGGCACTTGGCCGCCCGCGTAGCGCAGTGGTCGCTGATAGTCGCTCTGCAGCTCCCACAGATGACAGACGGTGTCCGGGCAGCTGGCGCTCAAATTCAGGCGTTCGTTTTCATCGTAGACGGGCGCTGATAGCAGGCACTGTGCTCCCAGCAGCAGCAGAAGACATAGCTTATACATCACTGCAATGCTTCCGATACTTCCGATACTATATATATTTATATTCTGCGCTACAACCGACGCTTGAAAACGCGCTAAATGCACTAAAGTCACGATCGACCTGGACGACGACGGCTGCTGCGGGCTTATCGCCAGGCGCAGCTGTGTTGATGGAGTAAGAGAGAGGGCGGGGAGCGAGGGACGGGCTGATGATTTACCATTTACTTATATGCTTACCCAGATAAGCCGGACAACAAGCGTGTGTATTATTTCCCCTCTGGGAAGCTCTTCGAACACCCAAATGGCTCGTCAGCAACAATGTTGAATTGAACATTTTATTTAATTTTTTTGTTTTCTTTTGGTATTTGTCAGCTGAATAAAAGAAATGCACTCGCGACCAACTATATAGATCCGGCGTGTAAGATATTAGTAAAATGAATCAATTTTCATATTGTATGCTTCAAAAGTTAAGCAAGTTTAAGATGTACTACTACAATAATTATACCCTGAACCCATTAAAAATGGGTATAAGGGTATATTGTATTTGTGCAAAATCCAAATATATGTAACAGGCCATAAAGTATATATATTCTTGATCAGCACCAATAGCCGAGTCGATCTAGCCATGTCCGTCTGTCGGGGGCTGAGAATTAGTTTAAGGCCATTCGGAAAAAACTTAAAACGTCGCTCACGAAATCTTTGATTTGAATTTTCTACAGAAAAAGTTGAAAACGCTTCTGAAATTAATTTTCATAAAGATTCTTTAAAATTTCAATCCGCAACTTCGTCCACCCAAGAGCAATTGAATTTGCAAAAATTGTGAAGCGCATCAATCAGTCTGTCAGTCTTTCAGTCAGTATATATAATAATATATATATAAATATGTTAATAGATACAAGTTTTACAAATGTTGACAGCATCTGATTAAAAAAAGAACGAACAAATCTGCGCTTTTGTGAGCCGACATATCGTCAATAGATCATCAAGATGACATCTAAGCCACGATACGATCGAGCTGCCCATATGCCCACATAAGTATGTGTGTGTATGTGCATGTGTGTGTGTGTGTGTGTGCATGCGTGCACATGACATTGCCATCCCTGAACGGAGTCGGGGCGCAACTTAGAAGCCATCATAATTTCAACATGAGTGTTGGCTGCCACTGCGCACGGCTAACAATGATGAGGCTTCAGCTGTGGCTGCCGCCGCTGCCGCTGCTGCTGCTGAGGTACAAATGCGTTCGACACTGGGCTACAAGCTCGACAGGGTCGCCAGGGCGTTATCAGCAACAGCGATGCAGATTAATCGCCGCTGATAAGCGCGCAAGCGCAGCCCCGTTTGCCCCGTCGAGTGTCTCTCAGTCTGTCCCTCAGTCTCTGTCCGTCTGCCTGGACTGATGACGAGAGCCGCAATGACGAGAATGATGATCGACGGTAGCGTTGCGTTGACGTTGACTGCGTGCGGGTTTTGGGTACTCCAACAATGCCCATACACACATTCACTCTCACACACACGCACACACATGAGTACATTTGTGTGTGCCTCATACTCATATTCTATGCTTTTTAATACGCTGAGCCCATTGGCTAAAAAGGGTATATAGGTTTTTTTTGCTAATGTATGTATGTAACATGCAGAAAGACAAATCTGCGACTCCATAAAGTATATATTGTCTTGATCAGGACGACAAGCTGAGTCGATTTAGCCATGTTCCATTGTTCGCCCGTCTAGGGACTTAAAAGTGTTTATAGTTTTTATTTGATAAATCACGCTTTTATTACAATATCGGGTTTCAAACTAGATGTTTTAAGCATAAGTCATATACCAACCTTGGTATGCAGGTTCTCCCTACCCGCGAAATGGTATAGCTTGGCCATCTGTACTTGCATACATTGGATACCAGATTGACTCACTGAAAATATTATGAAGATCGGACAATGAGCACCGAAGGTATTTGAGTAATTTGTTTATTTTAGTAATACTTTGTAAACTAACGGAAGAAGAAGCATAGCCGACATCGTTGTGTGCTCTTGACTGACAGAAGTGTGTTTCTTTTTACTCTGTACGCATAGAAGGAAAATAGAATGTGGTATAGGGTATATTGAAGTCAGGCACTCCCGTCTAGAGCACTTTTACTTATTTGAGTGGTGCTTGTGGTTGCGCTGTGGTTATTCCCTTTTTGGTGCGTTTCTCTTTTTGAGGCTTTTGTGAAAAGGTGTGCCTGGGCTATGCGAAATATGCGTGGCTTTTGTCGAATGTCGATCGCTCAGACCGATCTGCCGCTGCCTTTGCCGCTGCTCCTGCTTGTACCCTTTCATTGCCCAAAGTGGTTTAGATTAAGGGCTTTAGTTTAGTATTTTGGCAACAAATGGGGCGTTATTTGCTCAGCGAAACGTGCGACTGGTTTGGCTTTTGGCTCGATCGATCTGGACAACGGTCGGTGCACCCCATTGACCTCTGCAGTCCTCCTTCATTCCTGCCTCCGAGACGTAGTCGTTGTCGTCTTCATTGTTGTGCTGTTGTCCATGCTCTGGGTTTTTGTTGAACATCTGTCGATCTTGTTTGCCGATTATTTGAATTGAGTTTTCTCCGCTTGCGATCCTCAGTTCTCGCTAGTTGTCCCCCGTCAGTGCTCCCGCGCCCGCTACCGCTGTGCCTGGCTTGTCACGTGTGGTTTAATTATAGAGCTTGATGAATTCTTTGCTAGATGCGGGTCAGCTAGAGCCGCTGCCCACATAATTATGGCATATCATAGGCATAATGGCAGCTAATCAAAATTCAGAGCTTTCTCACTGCGCTTAAGACGTGTCACAGCTCTGTCTCTCAGGTGCAGTTCACCAAAAACAACATAAAAAAAAAAAAAATAAAAAATCACAAAAATGCAATGGCTCCAAGCCGCATGCCCCATTCGCATTTGCTGTTGCTGCCACGCTGTTGCACGTTCAACTCGTTTTCTCGCAATTAACGCGAAATTCTACGAATTGTTTAATTAGAACTCCAGCTAAAGAACTGAACTACACAGCTCCAGAGCTCTTCAGCACGTTTGTTGGGCGCTGCATAATCTTTTTTGTAAACATGAAACTCGCGCCATTATATCTGACTGGCAAGGGGTGCGAGGGGGTTAGAGGGGCGTAAGGTGTATCTCTCTGTGGGTTTTTTACATGTTCTGCGCTCTGTGGCTACGTTTTAAATTTAAAATCTGTGAATTTGAAGCAGTTAATCGAGCCACGTTGTCTGCAGTTGGCTGCAGCCTCAACATCAGCTCCTGCTTCTGCTTAGGTGTTGCCTGTGCAGTTCTTGTTGTTGTTGTTGTTGCCTTTCAGACTCTTTTTTGTTGTTGCTGTTGTGGCTGATTTCGTTGGCCGATTAAATCATTAAATATTCCGATTGTGTAGCGTTATAATGAAATGTTTTTAACGCTTGTCTGATTTGAAATTATGCACGGAATTAAAGGATCTCGCGTATTTGCACAGTTAACAAAAGAACTCGCACTTTTTATGTGGAAATTGTTAAGGTCTTCTTTGATAATAATAATAAGAAAGAACTAAAAAACCTTTAGGCAAGGTTGGAAAAAAATGTAATACGCAATCGTTAATCTTTTGTGCTGAACCATATTTTCATAAAAAAAACTCGTTTTTGGGTCAATTGTGTCTTTATATAGGATATATATGATATGATAGTCGGATGCGTGCGATGTCTTGTAAAGGAAAAGATCTTTCAAGATCTACGTTCTCTCTGTTCATTCCTTTCATTTCTATGGCTGCCTAATGATATATTGGTTCGATCTCTGAAATCACACTTTTATGTCTCAATGCCAACATTAAAAGCCAGAGTAGTTCTTATAAATCATGTGTGTTTTTTTTCTGATCAGATCTTAGTTAAATTAGCACCTCATTTCTGACTTATTAAGCGCGCATCATTTTGTGATATATATCGTATTACATATATGTGCAACAGGGCGTATGGGTAACTTGCAACAGCTGCCGCCGTTCCTGCTGACAACAACAAATGTGAAAAAAGAAAAGCAAAAAAAAAAAAATAGAAGAAATAATATGTGAAAATCTCTGATAAATAGATTTGACTGATATGTGTTTTATTTAAACGCAATCGCTGATGCATAATTAATTTAAAGGTTTTTTTAATGTTTTGATTGTTGTGTTTTTGTTTTGTTTGCTGCGCACAACACTCCCCAAAATGCTTTGTTGTTGTTGTTATTGTTGTTTCTGTTGCTGGTCGCCTGGCTGGTTGGCTGGTTGGTTGGTTTGTACGCCTTATCTTGTAAATTGAATTATGAAATCGTCAACTTGAAGCTGAGCTGAATACAGCCTGGCTGCTGCTCCTTTTAGCCCATAGACTGGAAAATCAGTTAAGAGAGCATGACGACGCAGCAGCAACAGCAGCAGCAGCAGCAGCAGCAGCAGCAGCAGCTGCCCGCGCGTTACGCCAATGACCAATGACAGCAGGCAGCATGTGGCCTCTGCCTCTGTCTCTGCTGCTGTCTTTGCCTCTGCCACTGCCACTGCCACTGCCACCGTGAATCCGCATCCGAATCATGTGCATGTGAGTGAGAGAGCAAACAAAACGAGCGTTTAACATAATCATATCATATCGTTGTAGGCATCACATCGCTGCCGAGAAACCACTTAAGTTGCCTGGACAGGCCGCAGGATGACTGCCATTTGCATATGTATGTATCAGTGCCTGTGTCCCAGCGGCATGCCCATCCACACCGCGACTCCCCTTGCCGCTGGGGTTTGTTTGTTTGGCTTGGAGTGTGCACGAGTGAGCAGCATTTAGAAGTTTATCCCATTCATAGGTCTGCTTTTGATTTTTCCATATTTTTGGTTTAGGAAAAACGCTTTCGACTCTCTAATCGAGACGACATCATCTGGCATCTGGCATCTGGCATCGGGCATCTGAATCTCTGCTTTGTTAAGTAATTGAGAATATAATTACACGAATTACGACGCAGTCGACATGCTTATCGAAAAGTTAGCATCTGTTTTATCTCTGAACTCTGCTACTGCTGCTGCTGTTGCTGCTTTTGACAGTGCGTACGAGCAGTCGTTGTCCACTGGCC